CCCCCCCGCTCACTTGTGCCCTGGCCCATGGGTACCTCCGCCACCACGAAGGGGTCGTACTTGCGCACCTCGTAGCCGCGCGCCGCCCTCAGCACAGAGTAGCGCGGCGTCTCAAGGTTGGGGGTCTGGCTGATGTCGAGGGCCTGATGTATTGCGGTGGGTTTGGCGGTGACGCGAGCTGCTCAATGCTTACGAGGACGTAAACTGGTTGGTCAGCCCCAGGTGATGATCCAGCAGCGGCAAGATGGTTGGGATCTGGGTGGCAGTGAGTGTGGTGATGGCAGCTGGTTCACAAGGCGAGGCGCGGTGGTGGCGGCGGCCGCACAACCGGGGCCTCCGGCGTTGACAACCACCTTGCAACGATTTGGCTAAGAGGAGGCGCGGAGAAATGCACGCGCAGCTTAGCTGCAGAGTGATGGCTGCTTGCTGCTCGTGCGTGGTCCAGGAATGCTCGCTGCTCGTGCATAGTCCAGCAGGCTTCGCCGCTTACAGTCCGCCAGTTTCACCATCCCCCGTGGTGGCACACACCTGCTTGACGACGAGCGCGATGCCTTCTGCAGAGGGGAACGAGTTGTTGGTCACTGCGTCCCAGGTGTCAACGTGGCTCGTGATCAGGCCGCTGGTGGGGTCAACCTGCGGATGGCGCACAACAAGGGGGTGGGATGAGGCCAGTCGCAACAGCGGGAGACACGTGAGGGCGCGCAGCCGTGTGAACCAGGCGGGGGCCTGCATCATGCGCGCAGCACGCAAGCACTTGCGTCTGATGCCCGTGGAGGCGGCTATGTTGTTGTGCGCGACCTGGTCGCTGACTACGTCCTGGAGTAGGCAGGCGGCCTGAAGCTGGAATGCAGGGAGCGCCCCCAAACAAGCGCTTTTTAAGCGGGTATCACTCATACATCCCCGCACACATGCACACGAGCTCATGCGCAGTCACGCAAACACACAGTAACCAACCACACCGACCCACAGGCGGACCTTGTACTTTGACCGGCCCGTGAAGACAGCCTTTGGCTGCCAGGGCAGAGCCCACACCTGCGCCTCCATTGTCCACCTGCAGGGTGGGTGCCAGGGGAGGCGCATGCATACAGACTCGCCATGTGATAGAGCTGCGGCAGGCAAGACTCACATCACAGGCCCAGCACAGCTGGCTCGGCGCCGTTGTCAGGGTGAGGCAGCCGCCAAGAACAAGATCAAGATCAAGATCAAGGCCACGCCCTTTCCGATTTCACGAGGTCCCATCGGTGGGAGCGTTTACTCGCCTGGCTGAGATCTCGTCGGGACCGGTGACGTCCAGGGTGTGCAGGTCAAACGTCACCTTGAAGGCAGTTTTGATGGCCCTTTGGGGGGGGGGGTGGGGGTGGGGAGGGAGGGTGAGAGGCGCCAGGGGTGAGGGGCAGCCGCCTTGTCGAATTCCTCTGTATTGAAAGGGGGGGCCGGCAACTTAATCACCTGCTCAAACCCCCGCTATTGCGTGGGCCAGCCGTCAAAGACGCCTGGCAGGCAAATCAGCTGCCCCCGCCTGTCAACCCTGGCAGCCAACCCCAGGATTGCTTCCACTGCACTGCCATTGACCGCGTGGAGGTCAGGCACGCCCTTGACCTCCTTGCATAGCAGCCCTCCAACTTTGCAATGACCTCTACCTCGCCTGATGACCCGAAAACTTGGGGCAGCCCTCATCAAACAGATTTGACAGCCATCCGTACGTCGCCACTGGCTTCCGAGTGGTGGTTGGGAACCCCTACCCAACGGGGCTCGCGCCGCCCAAGCCCACCTGACCATCAGTATGTACGCATCGAGCCCGTCCAGCCGCGTGATCGGGTCCTCGAAATGCAGGTCGGGCGAGTAGCGGGAGCGCGTCACGCCGCCCTGGGGGGTGGCGCGCGGCATGCGGGGCGGGAGCGGGAGGCCGCTTCAGGGAATGCTGCTAGGACGCCGGCGCCGGCGTGCCAGACGGCGGGGTGCACCGCAGGGCGTGCAGTGCAGCAGGGATTTTTGATGTTAAATTGTGGGCTCGCCTGGGGTGTGAACAGGGTCCGTAGCTCAGTATCCAGGAATGTGCGCGCCTCAGCCAGCAGCGGCCGCGGCAGCTCAGCGCCGCCCACGGCCGCGGCGGTTTGAGCGCCCGACACCGCGGCCAGCGGGCCAGCGTCGCGGCGACGCGCTTCCCGGCGCGGCGGTGCACATGTGCTGGGACTGGGCGATCGCAGCGGCTGAGGCGTGGTGCTGGAGCGGTGCGTGCTCGCCGTGCGTGTGGCTGGCTGCGAGCGCAGCGTGCGTGCGAGTGCGTTCATCGGGACGGCGAGCCACTGGCCGAGCGCGCGCTATTGTAAGGGGATGTGTATGGTCTGTTGTGGCCTATCTTTCTTACTACAGGATAACGCGATCAACCGAAGCTGCACTGCACTCGGTGTCACTCTCGCACGCGAGACAAACCAGGATCGAGGTAGGATTGAAGAGACGTATCGCAGGTATTCATGTGGGTTTAAACTGCGTACGCGCCGATGCACGTTGGCGAAGAGCCCTCGCTTCAGCAGTGTCGCGCTGGCAACTTGTCATGCGCGCGTGGTGCCCTGCACCGCTGCATGAGCCAGCAGTGCAGGCACTGGTACATCAGAGCTGTTTCAGTGCAGCTCAAGTATCATAATCAGCTGCACCCATGCAAGGCCTGCATCACGGCCAGCCCACCCTTGTCAACTGCCAAGGAAAAGTTGCAGAGGTCTCCGACGACCCACATCAGCGTGACACATTTACAGTCACGTCACATTCACAGAATACCGTACATGATGAAGCAAAAAATGGCACGGCAATGTCTCATGTACACCCAGCAGGACGTCCTGAATTTCACCGGTCAACGCAGCAGGGACGACCATCTCACCACATCAGCTCTGAAAGGAGTTGGGCCACAGGTGGCCACGCCACAAATGAGCTGCGCTACGCTACGCTCTGCCCCTCGCTCTGCCCGCCTGAAAGCGTCACAGATCCCGTCGGCTCTGTCTAATAACGCTGCAGCGCGCCACTCCAGGTCCGACAGCTGCTTGACGCACTCAGTGGTTCCGGCTCACCCCGCGGAAGCTGCAACCCCCCAGGACCTCCCTCATCAGCCGCAGCCCACCAGGCATGCATCCAGGTGCTGATTGAGGCGCGCCAGGCCCAGAGCGTCCCCAGGGAATGCTGCTCCGCACACCGGGCACCCCAGTCGCTCCTCTTGCTGCTGCTGCCCTCGATGCTCCTCGCACGGCCGCCGCTGCTGCTGTTGGGGTTGGTGCTTGTGCTGCTGCTGGCTCGGCTGCTGCTGCTGCTGCCCCTCTCCCTCGCCGTCGTCCTCGCCACATAGGTCGACCACCTCAAACCCATCATCACTGACGCCAGCCACGACCCCAAGGCGCCCCTGTGCCGGCGGCCCAACCGCCGCCCCGCCGCTGCCGCCGCTGTCACGCCCAGCGGGCGGCGTCGGCGGAGGAAAGTTGATCCGCCGCTGGCCGGGCGGCAGCGGCGGTGCCACCGCTGTGATTTTTCGACCCTGCTTCTTCTTCAGCTGCGGCTTGGCCCCACCCTGGTGCTGTGCGTGTGGCACAGGGTCACAGACCTGCCCCTTGTGCTGACTGGGACCCTGCTGCTGCTGCCGCTGCTCCTGCTGCTGCTGCTGTTCTGGCTGCTCTTGCCGCTGTTCTGGCTGCTCTTGCCGCTGCGCCTGCTGCTGCTGTTCCTGGTGGTCTCGCTGCTTTTTCTGTCGCTGCCCCTGCCGCTCCTGCAGCTGCCCCTGCCCCTCTTGATGCTGAGTGTCCACCTTTCCCGCTGCTTTCCCCTGGTGGTGCCCGGACGGCACCTGCTGCGGCCCCGCCCTGCGGCCCTGCGCCCGCTGCATGCGCGCCAGCGCCGCGTCCAGGGCCCGCTGGCGCAGCTCGGCCGCCGACAACGGGGCCGCCTGCTCGTCCTCGGGGTCTCCCATGTTGGGGGCTTCCGAGCCTCCTGCTGCGCGCTCAAGCTGCGCCGGCGGCGGCCCGTCGCCACCGACGCTGCTGCTGCCTTGGCCAGAGCCTAGGGCCGGCTCATCGCTGCCGCGCTCTGTCTTGGAAAACCACGCCGTGATTGGCCGCACGCCCCGCGGTGGCGAGACAGGGGCGGGCTTCGGGCGCTTCCCTGGGCGCGGCGGCGAGCCTGCCCCCTCCGTGCCCCCCTCACCGCCGCTGCCGCCAGCTGAACCGTTGTCCCCTCTGCCGTTGCCGTCGCCGCCGCCGCCGCCCAGCTTGTGTCCACCGCCGCTGGTGCCGCTGCCGGGCGGCTGCTGCTGCTCTGCGCCCGCTGTGCCCTTCTTTGCCCTGCCTTTGCCGCCCTTGCTGGAGTAGCCCTCCGGCTCCATCACCTGCGGGTGCGAAAGGTGTGCGAGGGTAATGTGCAAGTCAGTTTTACGGTGACATGGGTGCATGTGTGAGTATGCGCGTGTGTGTGTGTGTGTGTGTTTGTGTGTGTGTGTGTGTGTGTGTGTGTCGCACAATGTGTGGAAAAGGTTATGCACTCTGCGGCATGGGCAGCTGCATGCATTGTAAAGGCGAATGGGGGGTGCTGATACTGCCTCCCCAGGAAACCTGCATGGTGACCAGCCGGTCAGCACCAAATAGCTGCCACAGGTCTACGCTTGCAGCTCATAGGGACGGGCGCTTGGAGCAGTTTGCTTCGGCAACGAGGCGACCCCCTGCCTACCTTGTCGTACTGGCCCCCGCAGTGTCGGGCATGCATGCAGTGGGAGCAGCGCGTGTCACCGCAGGGCACCTCGCCCTTGCCGCGCGTGGTGACGCAGTCCGCGGGCTGCGGCGGCCTGTCGCGAGCGGAGGGACGAGGGCGATGAGGCTGCTGGGGTGGGCACGTGTTTACACCGGCACCACACAGCGTGGTATGCCGTGAACCCGTCAAATCAGGCCCATAGCAACGCATCAGTCCTGCCAGGCTGACCCTGGGACGGCCCCGCCCCCGCCCTGCACCTGTTCATAGCGCGCTTGATGGTGTTGCCGCAGCGCTGGCACGTCCACCTGTGCTTGCGGTGCTCGTCCACCTCCGCGTGCCTTTGAACGAGGCACGGTTGCAGAGCCAGGCGAAGGACAGTAGAGGGGCAACAAAGTGAGCACGGCACACTGTCACGCAATCCAGCATCAGTCTGCCGTCACCGCGCGTGCTCTGTGAGGAAAGAATGTCAGGCAATCCAGTTTGATAGGATTCCCAGTACTGTATGTAATCAATTTGGCGTTTTGGTGAGATCAGCATGCCCATGGGCCGCACATCGTGTGGTATACAGTGACGTTGTAACCGCCCACTGGCCGCTGGTGGTCTGGACAAGTGGCCTCGTTGATGGCCTTGGCGTAAGATCTGACGCACGCATGTGATGGGGCAAGGAAGGGCAAGCGCATGGACGACTGAGAAAATGGGGCGATCAGAAAGCTGAGCACTCCGAAAACGCACGCCGGCAAGCCACTCCTCAGGACCTTGCGCGCAACTGCAGCTTATCGCCACTTATAGCAGCCTATGGAGAATTGCATACATTTTCAACAACCGGCTTATGTAATTGCCGCCCCGGCCCGCACTTGAAGAGGGGTCCGTGGTCCCCGTCCTGGCGCCAGCGCCCGTCCAGGAAGAGCAGCGCGTGGATCATCTCGTGCAGCAGCGTGTCCTTCAGGTCGCGCAGCGGGCGGAACTGGGGCGCAGGAGGAGGGAGGTGTTCCGAGGGGCGGAGGGGGGGGATAGGGCTGGCGGGCAGGCCGGCGTCAAGACAGGGGCGGGGGCAAGGGGCGTGTTGGCGGCTGACAAGGTATGCCGCAGGCCCAGATGCAATCGGGGATGCAGCTGTTCAGGTGCCTCAGTCGTGCTACTGGGCCTGCTGCCCTCGCTTTGCACCGGCAGGGACGGAAGCTGACCTGCAGCAGCGGCTCGCTGAGCTTGATTACGACGCCTCCGCCGTTGCCGTGCAGCTGGCACGTGCCGGCGCACCTGTCAAGAAAAATTGGTGCATGAGCAGTCGGCAGGGAACTGATGGAGCTGCCGCAGGCCAGGCAGTGAGACACCATCACACAAAGGATGCAATAGCAATTGATTTGTGAGGTAAAATGGTGCATGAAGTACACTTTAGCGTGCCACACTGCATGGTGAAGGGCGTGCTGCATGCTGCACGCTCTGGCCCCTGTCCCCACCCCGCTCACAGCGTCATGCGCTTGCTGCTCCACTCCACGCTCGCCGCTCCCAGCTGGTCGCTGAAGTACAGCCGCGAATAGTGCTGCAGGTAGTATGCAGGCTGGTATTCAAGGCGCAGAACAGTACAGGGCGCAGGGCGGTGCAGGGCGCAAGGCACCGCAGGCACGGGCGCGGGAGAGCGGCATGGCGTGTGTGCTGTGGGGAAGCTCTGCTCGTGCTGTGGGTGCGGCGAGCATGCCTGCGAAACGCACGCCGCTGCAGCCCCCACACATACCTGAAACAGAGAGAATATGTCCACATGGGGGTCCAGGTATTCCAGGTCGCCAAAGTCCTCATGCGCCATCAGTGCCGTAGCCGCGCAAGCACAGCATGCGCGCCACACAACAACCACAGCGACGCCGCGCGGCGCGGCGCGACCAGCAAGTCGTCTGAAGAGTTGGGTCTATGATTAACGTGATGCTCCAAGCACAATCTAGCTAGGTTCGTCCGCTACACGTGAAATGCCTGAGTTTTGAGTTCAATTTTTACACCAGAGAAATACGCCAAGCTTGTAGAATGTTTGTGCCAGCGGTCGAACAGCCATCTTCTAAAATCGTGCACGTGCAGACGGACACATAGCACCAGATCACCAGTCTCAGATCCCGGCGTGCCAGTCGTGGGCTTGCTGCATGCAGATGCACAACGTTCCTCCACTTCCCCACGCCACGCCCAATTCATGCATGCGTTGCAGTGTTCCACAAAACTGCCCTTGCCTATTACTGGAAAAATGCAGCAAGCAGCACCGCTTTGACCACGTCCCAGCATTGACCAGACTTTGCCAGCCATACCATGTCTGATGGTGTGTGGTGTTCCGACTGTATGCATGATTGATCAAGAGGGTGCCGTGTTAGTCTCTCTAGTTGGCCCCGTGCTGGCCATTGTTCCTGCAGAGATTTACAAGGCAGTAACTGGCATGACATCCCTACGGCATGATGACGCTTGTTGCAATACCACACTGCTCTCTGGTACCAGCCGTCCTTGGCTGTTGACAAGTACTTGGACGTAGAGAGGCTTGCAGCGATTGCGTGACTGCGTCACACAAATGCCTGCCCTGCACGCTGCTGTTGCTGCGGTTGACCGGCTCACACGCTCATGTCGCCGCCACTCGGTTGCCCTTCTTGCCGTTGCAGTACCTGCAATTCCACCCCAAACACGAGGCAAATCAGTGCAGCTCTACTAGAACTTCAACATGGGACATTTTCACTGGACAGTCAGTCGCGCTGTTGAACCTGGCAAGGCAGGACGAACCACTGCGGTGGCAGGCAACAATCACCTGTGCACCAGCTGCGCGTTGGATGCGGTTGTGGCGCCGCCGTGCGACCAGGGTGTCACGTGGTCCACCTCAGCATCCCCCACTGATCAGGAAAAGGGGGCCCCGCGTGGCAGCCATATTGTGAGCATGTGGCAGACTAGCGCATCAGGCTGCTGCTTGTTTGCTACGTGCGGGGCGGATGGGAGCGAGGGACCCATTGTATACAACTCTGCAGGCTGTACCTACAGATTCCCCAACCAAGCAAACAGAGTTGCAGCGCCCACCCACCTTGGTGAATAATCTGGTTGCACAGCCCGCACACTAGCTGCCGCCCCCTGGCGGCGGGTTCCGCCCACAGCTGCCGCTTGATGTCGTTGGGAAAGGCCCGCCTTGCGTCCAGCCTAGCAGCGCGTGGTGGTTCAAACATGGGCATCCACCCAGGGCAGCGCATGAGGTTTGGGGACGCACTAGGGACGACGGGACCTGCTGGTGCATTGGGCTTTGCAGCGCAGACTGTGCCGCAGTCATAGCCGGGGTTCCGCCTATTACATGACAACATGTCATCGACATCACACATCACCTCGTCGGTGGCGCAGCTTCCACCAGCATCCCCCGCAGCATCGCGATGCGCCGCTGTATGTTGCGCCTGCTGTTTGTCTTGAGGTTGTCCTCGAAGGTCTTGTCTGCACACAGCTTTTTGTACGCCTCACGGATGTCTGCAGCCTTGCCGACCAGTTCCCCCCTCCGCCTGTTGTTGCCTGCCTGCTCCAGCTCCTCACACACCCCCACCATAGTGGCGTCCCACAGCGGCTCACTGAAGGCCGATCTGCCCCCGCAGGCGGCGGGCTTCCTGCACGAATGAGAGCAGCGATGGGGCCCAAGGCTCCCAGAAGGTTGGTTGGCTGGCATGCTGGTCGGCCGGCAGCTGAGCAGGCGGGCATGCGAGGAGGAGGCGCGCAGGCGCCTGCAGAGGCTTTTGCCAATGCTGATGCGGGGCGCATGTGATATGTGCAAAGGGATCTCGCTTCACACCATGCTGCGGCATTAAGGGCCGCGCCTGACGCAATGGAAGCCGCAGCGAGTCGTGCTGGGGGGGGGGGAGGGGGGGATTCTGCCTACCTGCAGGCCTCAGGCCCCCAGATCTGCCAGACCACGGAAGTGGTGTTTTTGAACATGGCTTCCAGCCGCTTCAGCTCTGCAGTGTCTGCTTGATGGTGCTGCACCAGCTCCTGCATGGCAGCAAAAACAGCACATTGCAGCGGCCTGTGGAGTCCCATCTTCATTCCTCAGGGCCTGCCCAGCAGCTATAGCTTAGCTAAGCTACTCGTCACAGTGTTGTCAGCACTCAACAGCACAGCCCAACGGTGCAGCGTTGCACTGGGCAGCACGGAACGGCCCACCAGCAGCCAGGCACAGCGCAGCACGCAATGGAGCCAGCAGTGCTGAGTTTTTAAACACACCTCAATCAGGAAGCTTGCGAGTGGAGTCTTGAAGACGTTGTAGCTGCGCTTCATGGCCAAGAAGCGCAGCACCAACTCCCTGCGCGTGTGTTGTGCGCACACCAGCGCTCAGCTGCCGGGGGCCCACAATCAAGTGTGCACACAACGGCGACACCTCGAGGCGCGCACTAGCACGCGGTCGCTCATGCCGCTGGACACAAATTGTTATGATCCCTATAGTTCCAGGGGGAAGGAGGGTAGGGAGGGCGTGGGCACAACAGCATGAGCAGCACTGCACCTGTCGTACTCTCTCTTGGAGTCTGGCTCGTCGCGCTGCTGGATCTGCAGGAAGTCCTTGTGGTGGCACAGAGTGTCCAGGAGGTTCATGTACGGCCCGTGGAAGGCCGCCTTGCGGCTCTGCTGCGCCGTGTGGCCGACAGAGCCCATATTGATGTCCTGGTAGATCCTGTACACCTGTCGTGTCGATGGTTTGAACAAACATCAGATGTTGCAATCGTGCGCACAAAATTGGAGTTGCAGGCTTGAGCGCAGAACAATGCATTATCGGCTGCAGCAGCAGTGCGAGCGCCCTTCGCCTGGCGTGCCGCCTCGCCCTGCGACTCTCGCCGCCTTTGCCTTGGCAACCCTGCTTGCGCTGCTGCTGCCCACTTGTGCAACCCAGGTGCACCTGGAATCTTGGAGTCTCTTTGAGCACAAGGATGCAAGCGACGCTGTAGCTCCGCAGCAGGCGCTGCCTCCTAAGAGGAAGGTCCGCAAATTTCTTGCCGTGCCACCTGCATTGTTTCGGGGTCGGGAAATGATTGTATTGATGCAGTCGGCGGCGCGCCGTGCCTGCGTCGCCTGGGCGGCCGTCTGGTGTTGTTGCCATCAGCCCGCGACCAACACATTTGTGTCCAGCAACCAGCTCACTTTGGGTGGCAGGAGTCGTCGTTCAGCAAATCCAGCTTTACAGGGGCACTGCAGCAGGAGGGGGGACCCCCACGAGCACGGCAGAGTCAGTCAGGCACGAATTGCAAGCAGCAATATTCAAGGCGGCCAATCTGTCGACTGCCTTACGACTGGTGCTAAACTTTGCGTCCCAGCGGCCTTGCTATCATGATGCACATCAGGCTGTGGCTGGGGTCAGCACGCGCATTCGACCGCTAGCTGGCAGGTGCAGGGCCCAGCAGGCACTCTTACTCTTCCCATGTGCTCCCGGCCACTGCGTTGTTGCCGCGTAAGAACGTGATTAGCGAGGCAAGGCGCTGCTTCCCATCTATCACCAGCATCTTTCCCTCCTCATCTGGGGGCAGGCCGGCGCGCGGAAGCCGCGCGCTCAGGGGCGGCAGGACGTAGAGAGGAAAACAGTCGGGCGCCTTACTTGTTGCGTCATGCCAGGGGTGGCAGGCTTGGCGAGGCCGCAGCCTCCCTCTGCCTGATGCGCTCCGTCGCCCACTCAATGGTGAGGCACAGCCTTGGCGGCGGCGTCATCGGCGCGCAGCGCGGTGGTGCGGGGCGCAGCCGCCGCATGAGCCCGTGATTCCTGCGGCGCGCGCACCCTGTTCCAGGTAGATTGTTGGCACGATGCGCTTCTCCAGGGCCGTCACCACCAGGCGGCTGGCCTGCTTCACGTCCCACACAAGGAAGCGCTGGTAATCTGGCTTGAGGTCGAGGTCGCCCTCCTTCTCCTGAAAAGGAGTGGTGGCGCGGCGCGGGCGGCGCCAGGAAGGGATCAGGTGCGCCCGCGGCTGACTGTTGCAAGACAGCCATCTTGTTTCTTCGCACGTGGTGAAGTTCCGATCAACTCGCCACGTAATAATGCGTTCCCAAAGAGAGTGGTCTGTTTAGCCATGCTCACCAAAGCCGCGAGCTGGTCAAGACTCCAGTCCCGCTTTTCGGTGTACACCTTGGACTCTGGTGGCAGTCCATCCCCGTCCTCGAGTTCATCCTCGTCATCGCCGCTGCGGCTTCGGCGCAATGCCGCTGATGATGATTTTGATGCTACTGGTACTGTGCGCATGTGTGCCGGGGGGTGCCTGCATAGCTTTGGCACATGGTATTGCTGCTGCCGCCGTTGGATCACAGGCGATGCCCAGGCCATCGGCCGCACACCGGCCATGATGCTGCTGGCCGTGATGAGAACCATTGAGCGCTGGCCAAAATAGGACCGATGCTCCCGTCCTTGATATCGAACGCTGTCGGCGGTATTGATATGATCTCCGACGATACTTCATGGACAAAGGTAAGGTATGACAAGCTACTTCGTGATTTGGAAACGACATACAAGCAGACGTAGCATAGTCGTCCGTGTCCATGTACTGTTGATCAGAAGATCACCCCAAGTCACTCGCCGGTGTCGCCCCCCACATTATCGCAGCTGGTCGCATTTGAAGTGCAAATCAACATGTTGTCTCGATTAGCGCTGCTGCGCGGCAGGCTCGGTGCGGGGTGGCGGGCTGCAACGCGCAAAGCGGCGCGCAGATGCTGCTTTGCTGCAGCCATGGGACCCATGCGTAACGACTGCGGGGCTGGACCGAGCCGTGCTGCGCCCTCGTGTGGCTGCGCGCAGGAACACTTGCTGGCAGCGCTGCCGCGCCCCCCTGGCCTCTTGCGCCGACGAGCAGTGCAGCTGCGGCGCTCCACAGGTGATTTGAGCGCGCTGCGGTCGCCACCTGCTGGGACAGCGCCGGCTGTTGTGCAAGGGCCACGAACCTGACTGGCATCCAAAATTCCACGCCAATGCTGGGTGCCGCACGCCTGCAATCGTGCGTGGCCCCGCTGCTTGGACCGCCCCGACCCCTGCCGCTGTTGCACATGGCACACCCGTCCCCCCCCCTTCACCCTCGCAGCTCAGCCGTGGCTGCGGGAGCCCTGCAGCGGCAGCTGGCGGGCTTCCATCCGGGCCTCGCCGCCCTGGGATTCCTGCAGCAGGTGAGGGGGGTTAGTGGGGCCCATATGGCATGAGGTTGGCTCAGCCGCAGCTCTGTTTCAGCTGGCTTGCCTATAGGATGCCCAAACCGAAGGTTGCTGTTTTGCCCGAGCCTGAAACACACGCACCCTCCCCTCAACAACCATCACCGCAGGCTGCGCGCGCAGGCGCGTTGCAGCAGCACCACCACTCGCCCCAGCAGCAGAACCCCTGGCTCCGCGGCGCCCCAAGCGCGCTGGCGCAGCAGGTCCGCGGCCTGCAGCTGACGCCGCGCCGCGTCAAGTACCGCAAGGCCTTCAAATCCCTCGGCTTCAACGAGACGATCTGTCCCAACACCCGCCAGCTGGCGTGGGGCCTCTACGGCATCCGCGCCGTCGAGCACGCGCGCGTGCCCGCCCGCACGATCGAGGCGGCTCGGCGCGTGCTGCGGCGCACCATCGGCAAGGGTGCGATGCTGTGGATCCGGATGACCCCCAACATCCCCGTGACCAGCAAGCCGGCGGAGGTGCGTATGGGCAAGGGCAAGGGCGCGGTGGATTACTGGGCGTCCCCCGTACGGCCCGGCCAGATCATATTCGAGATGGACCGGCTGCCCCGCAAGGTCGCGCTGGGCGTGGTGGCGGCGCTGCAGCCGAAGCTGCCGATGCGGATCGGCTTCGTGGAGTACACGTGATGCGCCGAGGCTGTTTGCTGTTCTGCTCTGCGGGCGCCGCCAGGGCAGCGTGTGGCGGCAGCTGGTCGTTAGGTCACGCTCAAAGCCGCCTCTGGCCTGCCGGGGTGCTTTTGCTGGACTGGCACGCCGCGGCTTGGCGCACGCCCCGGACGGCCCCTGGAGGGACGCCGGCGCCGCCGCCCGCGTGGCCTCCGTTCAGGCGCAGCCCCGCGGCCCGTTGCGCAGCCGCGCCGTGCTATGAGGCGGCTCAAACGTTCCCAGCGGCGTGGCCCCGCGACCCTGTGTGTAACCGACAAATCCTCCCTTTCACACGTCCGCCTCACAAGGCTGCAGGCTGCCTGGGGATCGGGAGGTGTGGTTACCCAATGATATGAGTCATCAGTGGAAAGCAAGATTCGATCATGCAATTCAGGATTTCACATCGTTCTGTTCGGGGGCTGGGGGAGCTGGGTGGGTGGGGAGTTGCTGAGGTGGCAGGGGATCCTCGGAGGTTCACAGTGCGTTTGCGCGCGCGCAAGTGCGCGGTACACACACTTGTGCGCGCGGCCAATGTCCTGCGGCGAAGTTTCTTATGACAAAGGGTGGCTCAGGTTGGGGTAGGACAGCAGGCAAGCGAGTCCAAGTGCGCGTGACTGAACAGGCAAAAGCCTTTCGGGGACATCCGATTGACGCGGGCAGTGGATGCGGGCAGCGGAAGCGACAGATGCGCCAAACGAATGGCAGCGCGTCGGCCAGGCGGCGCGAGAGGCCGGCGGGCAGGAGAAGAGAGCGAGCCGCTGGCCCGAGCACGGCGCGCGGCGCCGCGAGGCTCCTGTGCCGCGGCGCGGGGCCGAGGGTGCGTCGAATCCTCTTAACTGTGTACTGAGGGAAGACCCCGTGCCCACGCGATCCAAGTTCAGGGATTGCCAGCAAAGACATCGGCGTTCGGCGTTCGGCAGAAAGAAGGTCGGCAGAGAAGAGGGGCGCGCCCGCGCGACAGGGACGCAGCACAGAAGAGAAGCGCGCTCAAAACGGGCGCGCTGTGAGCCAGCGCGGAGCGGAGCGGCCGGGTGGTGGCCAGTCCGGGCGCGGCGCACAAACCCACACCATCAGTGCACGCCTCCTGCAGTGCTATACACAAGGTTGTACGGTTTCCCAGTCCGGCCCCCCACACTCAGGCACATGCGCACACACACTCTCACACACACATGCACGCAAGCACGCAAACACGTCGGCACACATACGCGCACGGTCACCACCTAGATCTCGATCCACATCATCCAGTGAGCTGAAAGCTGTAGCGGCAGCACCGCTAAACCACGCTGCCGAAACTGTCACACCGCAGCCTCGGCCGCGCCCGCGACAAGCGGGCCCTCAAACACCCCAGGCAGGGCTGGCGCCGGCGGGATGCCCTGCGGCCGCTCGCAGTCCTACGGCTGCTGCGCCAGGGGCGGATCAACAGGGATCAGCCCGGGTTGGGCGCAGGCGGGCGGCAGGGAGGGGCCCGGCGCGTCTCCTGACGGGAAGTCGGCTTCGTTGCACCCTGCCTCACGTTCTTTCCCCTGCTGCTGCTGCTGCTGCTGCTGCTGCTGCTGCTGCTGCTGCTGCTGCTGCTGCTGCTGCTGCTGTGGCGGCGGCGGCGCCTCGTCCGCGGCTCGCCGCGCCTGCTGCGCCGCCGCCTGCTGCAGCTGCGCCTCCAGCGCCGCGC